GGTAGCAGTCTTTCTTGTAAACATATGTTGTTAAATATGACCGAAAGAGTAAGATTAATGATTCTAACACAAATCTTCTCAATATTTCTTATGCTTTTCTTCACTATCGAGGGTAGTTGAAAAATTAACTCTCCAAAGTTAATTTTCACGCTTATTTATGGTCTGATGCATAGAAGCGTTTCGCAAGACACTTCTTACATTTTCAAAGAAAATTTTTCAGACTCTTTTTTAATACTTATATTTGTTTATGGAGTGAGGTGATACAGGACACGAATCAATGGGTACATTGCGTGTTTTACCTTCTTACTGCTGTGTTGGTTCGGGTCTTGAAGTGGGTAGAATGTATCCACTTGTACAAATAACACATAATTACATTGTATCCACTTCAAGATCTAGAACCAACACAGAAGTAAGAAGGTAAAACACGCAATGTACCCATTGATTCATGTCCTGTATCACCTGTCCTGTATGTACCCATTGATTCAGGTCCTGTATGTACCCATTGATTCGTGTCCTGTATCACCTCACCCCAAAAACGAATATAATCATTAAACAGTATATGAAATTTTCATTGAAAATATAAGAAGTGTCTTGCGAAACGCTAATAGGTGTCAGACCTTAAATAAAGTGTGAAAATTAACTTTGGAGAGTTAATTTTTCAACTACCCTCGACAGTGAAGAAAAACATAAGAAATATTGAGAAGATTCGTGTTAGAATCATTAATCTTACCTTTTCACACACATATATATATATATATATATATATATATATATATATATATATATATATATATATATATATATATATATATATATAATATATATATATATATAATATATATATATATAATATGTATGTATATTTATGTGCGGGTGTGATACTAAAAATGTCAATGTAGAGCCCTTTACCCATCATTCCTGACAAAGCTTATAGATAAATACGCCAAATAAATTGAAACGAACCGAAACTTAAAACATTAAATATAATTGAAGTCTTGTGTACATGTGGCAGTCATAAATGCTTCATAACTCGGGTATGCTAAAATAAACATAACCCGAGTCAGGGGTAGCAAGTAAGTCGAACGAAGTATAAAGGGAAATATTAGAGGCTGCATATATCCAGAGTTTTGAGAGGATATGACTTTAAATTAGCATTAAATAACTTTCACCGTCTTAACATGTGAACCTCCCACCCACCCCCTGCAGCATCTTGCGTCTGGCAAGACACCTCTTCCCGACTACGTTGCAGCCGACGGTGTCTCGCTAACGCTATTATCACACCGTAATAGCACAGTTTTGTCACGAGTGAGAAACTCTGAGATATGTATGAAGCAGCGAGAGTAGAGTCCAGCTTGTGTGTGAGGCTGGCATCTGTCGCCAGCTTGTGGTCCAGATCACCTGCTGACGCCTTGGCTTATATTGCCCCCCCGCTCCACTGCTGGATGCTGATGCTGGATGCTGCTTCTGCTGATGCTGGATGCTGCTTCTGCTGCTACTGGATGCTGATGCTGGATGCTGCCACTGGATGCTGATGCTGGATGCTGCTACTGGATGCTGGATGCTGCTTCTGCTGCTAGTGTTGGATGGCATTACCCTTTGATTCTGCTACTGTTGGATGCTGCTGCTGGTAGATACTGCTACTGTTGGATGCTGCTGCTGGTAGATGCTGCTACTGTTGGATGCTGCTGCCGTTGGATCCTGTTGCTGGTAGATGTTGCTACTGTTGGATGCTGCTGCCGTTGGATCCTGTTGCTGGTAGATGTTGCTACTGTTGGATCCCGCTGCTGGTAGATGCTGGCGGCATTGGATGCTGGTGGTGTCTTGTGGTGCGGTAACACTTCCCTGGGGAGAGTCTTCAGGCTAAGGAGCAGATGGCACCCGCACTGTTTTCCCAGCATCTTGCTCTTAGTAACATTATGTCGTCTCACGCCTCACACACTCATTGTCACTCATTACAGCAGGTGCCGTTATGAGAGGCAGCGGTCTCTCATTGTCACTCATTACCGCGGTCTCCCTCATGGCTTCGATTTAACAGATGTTTGATGCGTAAGAATTTTTTATTTTTTTTTTTTTGCCCTCTGCGAGCCATGTGGGAGACCGGTGGTTAATTAACCCGCAAAAATATGACACGCAAATGTGTCAGGTTGACGTCAGGAGGAAGTTCTTTAATGTATAGTCACTAAGGCATCTTTATGGCCGAGGTTAAGCCGCTCAGCTCATTGCTCAGGAACCGTATGTAATTACTACATGGGTTTAGACTCACCACTGAAGTCATACACCAGTCAAAACTATAAAGTATATCACCTTTATTTATTTGTCATTTATTCTCTCTCTCTCTCTCTCTCTCTCTCTCTCTCTCTCTCTCTCTCTCTCTCTCTCTCTCTCTCTCTCTCTCTCTCTCTCTCTCTCTCTCTCTCTCTCTCTCACCTTGGCATAATATCTGGCCACAGTAACTGGAGAAGAGACCGTGGGAACACCGTAACGGTGACTGGGATGAACT